ATTGGTGTGGCACCCAAACATCGAGCTTCTTTCTGAATCCAGCTTTGTGTAAATGGTTTAAAACTGTTTTATGGTCGATTTTTAGCTCCTGGGCGATGTTACGACTGCTAACATGCCGGTCAACTTCGATCATTTCTCCGATTTTATCGACATTTTCGACGACCGGCCTACCTGCGCGAGGTGCATCTTTAACATCAAAAATTCCTGAACGGATTCTACGAAACCAAAATTGCACATAATTGGCTGTTACAGTATCGGAACCATAAACACCATTCAAAATTTTAGCCGCCTGGCTTGCATTTTCGCCTTTGTCAAAGAAAAACTGTAAAATGTACCGAATTTTCTCTTTCTTCACTTCCATTTTTAACACGCTGTAACTCACAGCTGAATGCACCAAACAAAAAACAGCAAAAGAATTTTATTTACTGAGAAATGTCACCTTTCCAACGAGCATAAATCTGAAATTGTTTGACGCGATACTTTACGAGAAATCTATCAGTGCAGCCATCTACCGAAAAAATAATGGATTTCTTTTTCCCCAAACTAATATATTCTTAATAATTGAAGAATTGGTGCAGAATCATCATTTGTGGAAGAAGAAACCCTTATGTAAACGATATTTTGGAATGGAGAAAATGCACACGTGCACATATATATATTTATATACAGATATACGTAAGTATTTCTAGCAATTTTTTTTATTTGAATAACTAAAACATATTTACTTCGCGTAGATTTCTAAAGGAGAAGGAGGGAAATGAAAAAGAAAAGCTATTTTTATTTTAGATTTACGATATGAGATATAAAAAGGAAAAAGAGACGAACACAAATTTTGGCACACTTGACTAATAAGAAATTTTCTGCTATTTTATACATATTTTCACTTTTAATAAACTGGAAACACGCACGTATGGCAAAACAATTACAATTTTTCTTTGCGATGAAAGTATTTCTATTGCAATTCAATTATCTTTTTGTGAGAGAAAAGCAAACCTCCCACAAATCGAATAAAGCCGTGTAACAACAAAGTGGACTTAATATTATTTTTCAATGGGATGGAATCCACCATAAATACAGTTTAAAAACGGAATTTGCTACAGTATGTAGGCGATGTTCAGGTTTTTCTTCTTAAAACTAAGACTAATTGTAGGATTCACCAAATCGAATCGACTATAAAATGAATAAGAGTTAAATACTATACTTTATTTTATAGCCTAACCAAATTTTTAATGGAGGCAGGATAACGAGCCCGCGAACAAAAAAATTTATAATTAAAACCAAATTTTTTTTTTTTTGTTCTTAAAGGTTATATAATAAATAGCTATATATTTGTTTTATAGCCATCGTAGGAGAATGAGAAAATAGCTTCAGTGTCCCCACAAAGTGTATATACTTTTGATGAGCATCAAATCCTTAATCGAATTAAGCATGCCCGTCTGTCCGTCTGTCTGTCTGCGTTATGTCTGTTGTAAACATTATTTTGGCCGTAAATGTGAGGCTATCTACTTCAAGTTTGATAGAAACATTTCAACTTCTTGCGCACATGTAGGTATTAAAAATGTGCCAGATCGGTCAAAGCGGACGCCTACAGTTCCACGTAAACTAAGAATAACTTTCTTTTTCGACAGGAATAACATATTGTTTTTTTTATTTAGTATCCATAAAGTACAGCAAATAAATGTACAAAAATGGGAACATAAAATCTGTAGACGATGTTAAAGTAGTATCAGCACAAAAATGGGAACAAACGATTCCTTGTTTTGCAGATTGTTAGCGACATTTTGGGCTCGTTAAACACCTTTGAGACAAGCACTTACACGTCGAATAAAATCATTTTTATTTCTTCTTGCCCTCTTTTTAGTCAAGCCAGCTTCGACTGTCTACTTATCGTTAGAGTTAGTCAAAATTAGCAAAATATCTGCTTTTTATGTTACTATATAAGCTTTCCTTATTTCTTAGACGCGTTTATAAGTCATTGTCATAGGTGCTAGGAATATTGCGTTAACAATACTGTTACGAAAATCCCAAATCCAAATATCAGCTAAGTAATTTTCCCTAATAATACATTCCCTAAAGAAGGGAAAACCAAATGAGCATTCGCAGACGCGTCATGCAGCTGCAGGCCGATGGAAACGATTAGAGGAAAAGCAGGGTGGGATTAGAAATAAAACCATAAATTTAGGATAGTAATATGCTTGTAAAAATGTATATAAATAGAATATTTGTGGAACGGAGGGTCAGTCAGGCAAGAACATTTGAGCCGAGAGTACGGCCAAATTAAATTGTGAATAATTCTACTGTTAGGAATAATTGTAAATAATTGTAATAATTGTAAATAAACACTCCTACTGCTGTGAAGGACAAAGTGGTAAAATAAAAGAACTTTGAATTGAATTTCGCGAACTGTATCTTGTAAAAAGCGAATTTCATAACAATACTTTCAATGCATGTTAAAAGGCAACGAAAACTGATGCATAGGCAAGTAGAACATTTATGTACGGCTTAGTGCGCATTCTTGATATTCAGCATATCAAACTTCTCTTCCATGCAACCAAAGATTACGTTTTAATTTGCACATTGAGCTCTCTTTCAGTAAAGCTAGGTCCGCGCTTGATTCCTGCTGCTCAAGACACTTTATTTTCATTAAGCTGGGTCAATGTAAACATAATTATGAGCCTTTTCACCCATTTAGAGTTGTTTGCAGAAACCTCAATGATGTCTATCGTTTAATCTCAAATTTGGATTCTATAAAGTCTATCAAAACAATTTTGTTTAATACGCGCGGTTTGCCTATGTCATATTTAAACTAACTTGCAATGATTCGAAAATTAACTGGCGTTGTTGACTATTATCAATTGCCAGGCTATTGCGTGTTTGTAATGGTTTAAGGGTTCACTTGCAATTCGGTTCTGTACTGGTTGTGGGTATGTCTCTGTATTAGTTGCGTATATGCTCTTTTCTTTTTATCTTAAATGATCTAATGACCTTACCTTATATGACAAATTGCCAACCGATACTGGAAAAAATCATATAGTGTTCTGTTTTTTACACTGGCAAAAATCCTAGTACCTACCACGACGATTATGGAGTCGTGCATTGCTCGTTGCTAGATATCAATGCCAAAATTTTGTGCCATGAGTCCATATAAGAAGTTTATTTTCCAGTATAATTTCACATCATTGACATAGAAACAAATACAGTTACTTATTCCCAAATAGTTGACATAGCGTAAGATGCATTTTCTTCAAGGTTAGTCTCTTGCCTAAGCGATCTCCAAGATATATGATTGCCGTTTAGAATGTGATAGCTGTCTAATTTCATGAAGCTTAAGTTTCTTCTCTAATTATAAACTCTCTAAACCATATCTCTAACTCTAACTAACTCTAATTTCTAACTAAACTCTAACCTCAGAATGCTGACTTCTTCGTTTTAAAATAAAAATCTTTTTTTTATGAAAATTCTTTTTGTTTGTATAACTAAAGGGAAACCATTGCGTTTTCCTTCAGGGAAAGATGTAGTTATTTCGTGACATACTTCATCATCTTCATGATATGGCGAAAATATACTATGTTTTAAAAACCATATCCAACAACAATAATTGACTGTTTATACGTTTTGAAACGAATCTTAAAAACCAAGCAGCAACAATTTAAGCCCAATGCAGACTATTGAATTAAAAAACACAAATGCAAAGAACTTAAACAAAAAGTAACAAAACAACAACAAAAATCGTTTATTAATATTAATAAGCCGAGACATATCAAATACGTCTACTAAAAATTGCTGTACATTTAGCCCTTTTTTCCTTTAAATGCTTACGTTTTGTTTTCCGTTTTAAAAGAGGAGCTCGTGTATTAAAAAAATTGGTTTCGATCCTTTTCATTGACCTTGAATTATATCAACATATAGAACATACAACGCCTCATATTATTAGTTTACAAAACAAAAAAAAAACAAAATGGCCTTATATAAGTTCTGGCACTCTTTAGTCCGCTTACTATTTTATAAAACCTTTCACTAGCACCACCTTTACATTTAGAGTTTAGAAAGAGAGAGAGACCGAGAGAGAGAGAGTATAGCAAAAACCGAAGTATATATGTATTCAAATAATTACAGAGTTCTTGCATCGAGTTACCCCAAATGTTGATTAATCTGAAACATATACCATTATTAGAAAATGATACTTTAGGCTATGCCAGATATGGAGTTTAATATTTTAGGTATAGAGAAATATTTTTATATTCGAAAGCTTTCCTTCTTAAAGTTCTTTTTTTGTTTAAACTGCTCTAAGGCGGTTTGATTATTGCATTCCAAGCAATCATTTTCCAGTTATAATGACTTAAAAAAAGAAGAAATTCATTAGAATTTAACATTGAGTACCTGATCATTTTGGGAATACATTTCTCATAAAAAAGTCTTATCCAATTTATCTTACCCTTAAAATGATTTCAATATTTTTTTATTTTTTTTTTTATATAACTTTAAAACAACTATTCGGACTTTAATTATTGAATTAGGAAGTTAATATCAGATATTCCTGTAGGTTTAGTTAACTTATTTGACTCCAAAAAAATGTCCTCCACTAAAATTAAATCACTTGCATTACTATTCTTAATGTAAATCCAAAACGGTTTGAACCTTTTATATATGGATGGCTTAAAAACCTTCGGTCTGCTACCTACTTGTGCCATAGTACATACTTCAGGACAGGTTCTTCTTAATCACATATTTCACGAAAGTGCTTCAACTTTCACACACGAACCCAGAGCTACCCTTCACGCTACGAACCTTCCTCATAAAGATATTATTATTAATTATCGGTATTAAAAGCTGTACGGAATCCTTCGACTTCGAGACGGAGCACCATCAGCAAATTAAGGAATATCATTACAACATCCGGCGATAAAATTAAAATGCTTTGGGTATCAAGTCATATCGGTTTATTGGGAAATCAGCAAGCTAATCCAGCAGCGAGATAAGCTCCTGCTGCACCCATAATTATGGATGATGTCGTGAAGGAGTTAGATGTACAAAGATACATTGGAAGAAAAATTAAAGAGAAAATCATGGAATGAAATCTACAATACCATCATCAGCACGGCTCTTCTATTAATCCTCAATTAATTTCAACTTTATATCCAAAAAATATTGAGAAACTCAAGATCAAAACATTTTCGAGAACTCACCTTGGCCATACAATTGCAACTCAATAATTGATCTTAAAGAAGTCTTCTTCCCCAATCTTCAATTGCGGAATAATTCTCACTATAAAACACGTTGTTTGTGACTACCTTAACTTTTCCTTTGCTAGAAGTATTGCATTTGAAGGAACTAATCCTATGGACATCCTAAAATCAGCTACAGAACGGAATATCAATACAATATATTACTTTATTAAAACTATTAGGCTTCATATCTAATGTTTTTTTCTAAAATAGAACCGATGGCCTGTGTTGCTAGTGCTCAATGCCTTTTTCTTTTTAATCTAAGAATTTACTTTACTTACTTTACTTTAAGCGAAAACTTTATAATCAATAAAAATTTTTATTCTTAGCTCTTTAATCCATAAAAAGTTTTTGAATTATGTGTCAAAAGTGACGAGAATTTTAGAGTTTACTTTTTATTTAATAGCAAGCACCTAATATCTTTTCCGGTTTGTTCTTAGCTAAAACAAGGGTCATTAAATCATTGAAAACTCCTTTGCCTACTTGGAGCCAAAAATTATTGAAAGCTCCGTTGGTTTTTTTTGGACACTTTGGCGGCTTAATGGACACTTTGCATTGCAGAGCATCACGCAAATACCATTAGTGCGAATATGGACTATTTGAACCAAGACAAAAACTTGGCCTAAGCACAATGTGTCTACTTCACGTCAGTTAGTTTAAAGTCCTTCCAGCTTCGAATAGAAATATATTCACGACACAAGTAAATCCTAAAAATAGGCAATTTTTACTTGTTTATGTTTCATAAAATAAATCTACGCTAAATATTCCCTTGACTTGCAAATCGAATGACGGCAGTAATATGCCACAATTATCTTATAGAGTTTCTTTACAAAAAAGAGAAAGAAGAAAAGGCGAAAATACGTATATGTGGCTATGTAGAGGCTGCTTTGATGTACAGAGCCAACTACACACTAATAAAGGCACATACGTACACTCATCTCAGCAAAGATATGCTTGGCACTTTTTTCTCTTCATTCATTCCCTAAGGATTGTGAATGATGTCCTTTTTTTTTTTTGTTGTTACTGCTGTATTGCTGTATAAGTATTCTCGTGTTATATTTGTCTCTACATTTGTATGTAAACATATCTGCATTTACCCGCACAAATATGTATTTATGTATGTACAACGTACATGTAAATTTTTGTACACGTATGTAAAGCGTATTTGTGTTGCCAGGGCATTATATTCATTTCGTTTGCTTTATACATTTCTCAAGATTCATTTAATACGCTCCAAATAACTCAATTAAAATCTCCTATTTCTCGCGAAATGCTAAAGCACACACATGCACACATTTTTGTATTATGTACAAACGGTTCACAAAAGTATATAATACTTTTTTAAGGATGTTATTGTTAAGTAGGCAATCTGAAAGATTGCGCACTTGCAGCTTGCCACTTAAGAAGAAAATATGTTAAAAAATGCACAATTCCCTTTTAAAGCTAGCTTAAACCAAGTCTCTCTTTTATTTAAAATAAAGTTTACTTTTACGTGTTTAAAAAGGAAAAAGAAAAAAAAAAACTTAAATTCATAAACTTTCATATCATACATAAATTTCTCATAGTACTTCGTTTCTTTTTTTTTCCATTTTTTTTTTTTTTTTTTTTTTTTTTCATATTTTATATTGGTTTGTCATTTGTAGGGCAAATGCGTTCACATAGGCAAACATGAACGACTTTTACGAGAGTTTATGTTGTTTCTCTCATAATCCTCACATATCCTCGTGCTCTATAGCCAATGTGTCACATCAAGTTTTACAATTTCAGCAGATATGCTATTAAAAATTGAAATTCCACTAAAAGCTTAGAGAAAAAATGCTATTTTGTCTCTATTCAAGTGGTAACAAATCTTAACTATTGCTCCATTGAGTGCTATTTCAATGCGTCCAATCAATAAATTTTATTTTTAGAATTACTTTTTTTTTAGCATAGAAAAACTGTAATATTTGTATCGACAAAAAAAAGAACAGAAAAAAAAGCAAAAAGAACGTTCTCCTCTTTTCTTCTTACTTTCTATGCCGCTATTGTTTTTTTATTCATTATATAGCTACAACAAAGCGTACAACATAAGTTTTATATGTTAGTCCTTTCGCTCGTAACGCTTCGAATTCAGACTCAACAATGATAACATGAAGTATCGATATTATTGAATATTATGAGGTGATAAGTGAATTCATGTACGCTTGATAGTAATAAAAACCGTATATCTCTAAGTTATTTATTGATTTTCGCATAAATCATATTTAGTTCAATAATTGTGATTAAAATATGCTAAGAATAGAGGAGGAGAGATGAAAAAAGATCGACTGACCGCATTTATAAAACATTTGAAAACTCTGTACAATTCTGCTGCTCTTGATCGAGTTATGATTAATAGAAATTTTTTTTAATTCATTTATAAATTGGATGGATTCTTAAGCATTAGAAGGCATGTTCATAAACTAAATTAAATTTTATTTTCAAATTCAATCTCTTTAACTTTATTCGGTTTCTTATCCATTATTCATTCATTAGAAAGAGAGACACTCTATGTATAGAAATTTAAATTCATTGCCCCGCAAGTCAGCCAAGAACTGAAATAGACTTTTGGCTAATTTTAAATTTAGCGATTAGTATTGTCTTCTCGCAGCATTTTAATACCACGTATACAGTAGCATACAGTCAATGAATCGTGAATTTTTTTTTTTTTTTTTACCAACCGCATTAGTCCAATAGATGACGTAAAGTATATGCCAATAGTGAAATTGAGCTAACAATGCCTAACAATGTCTGTCTGACTGCCTCCTAAAAAAACAGAATATAACTCGTCGTAATTATATTCTTGCCGTTATCAAATCGATTCATAAATACGGCTCGTGTTATCTAAGCTTTGCTCGTTTTCTTCTCTTCACGACCTTTTTAAAAATTTTCAAATTTTACAGCCTTTACGCGTAAAGTTTTATAACATTATGACATTAAGTTTCTCAAAAATATGATCTTTTTTCCAAAATCGAAAATCAACTTTAAATATGAATTACATACAATTAAAGCAAATTATATCAAAAAAAAAAAAATTTTTTTGCATACAATGCGATATACTACATAGACTGAGCGAATGCATCCGCCGTTTATTTGTGCAAATAAATATCGCTCAAAAACCACTAACACCAAGTGATGAGTATCCAAAATTCGTTAAAGATCGCTCACAACTTTCCTACTTATGTTTTGTTTTGTCTTGGATCGGTGTCAAACCGTCTTTTTTCTTCTTATTTTTTTGCAATTATTACTTCAGGTTAATGTTGGCGTTTTCTTAATGGAAGCGTGCAGAGAGACAAATATAAATATTAGTAGAATATTAGCTTATAAATGTTATGAATCAATAATATTTATTCGAAAAGCAACTTTACAAACATTTGTCGCATTGCAGAAGTTTTATTATATTTATTATTATTATATATATAATATATATAATAAAAATTCTTCACAATATCAAATAGTTTTTAAGTATTCTTTTTTTTATTGCCATTTTCCTTAATGAGTATTGAAATTTTTGAAGTTGTTAAAAAGAAATTCGTTTTCTCAAATATTACTCTCTGACCAAAATCGCTAAAAAAAAGTAATTAAAGTAATTAAAATATCATTCATTTTCATTCTTAAAGTTTAAAAGAGAAACTGATCCGTCTATATAACGTTATACATGTTATTCCCATTTCTTGGAGCAGTGATGTTAAAACAGTAGCTTTCTTCACATACTTTTAGGCTTCGCTTCATTGATTCATTAATTTGAAAACTGGAAGGAAAGCTTGAATTTCAAGTTAGCATTAAATAAATTACAACAAAGGTTTGGGCTTAAAATACAAAAAAGATATTAAAATTTTAAATAACTATATTAAAAGCTTAAATTTTCAAATCACACTGGTATGATTGCGTTAAAAGCAATACATACACTTTTGAGTATATGTTTTGAGTATATTTTTGAGTGAGAAAACCCCATCTTACTTAATATAACCATAAATGAAAAATTTGAAATCATTAGCTTTGCAAATTTAATTATTTTTATTATTATTACTATTATTATAATTATTATTAATGTTATTATATAAAACTTGTAAAGAAATATTCTCCAAAGATGAGTTTCGAACTTTCGAAAGAAGTGAACAAGAGAAATGAAAACGCGTTTTAATAAAATTTTCTATTAAAATCGGGTACCTAAATTTCACTTTTAGACTTGAGTCTTTTTTATTTGAACTACGCACAAATTTCATTTCTTAACATTGCTGAAAACCATTCCGATCCCAATTTACACGATTATCGAGTCGGCGACTTAAAAGGAAGTTAATACGTATCCAATTTTTACATATTTCTTTGTAATTTTTGTACATACAGCAACGACTTTTTGATAATTCAAATTGTTTACCAAAAACTATCCCAAAAAAAAAAAAAATGTCCTCTTATTTTCAGTAATATAAAAATCGCCGTCGAGGAGATAACTTCTAAAGTAGTAAGAATGCAGATCTTTCTCTCTACTCAAGAGTTCCCCTAACGTGATATAACCCATGTCATATAACATATTCGTCACTCTACAGATCCTAGTTTTCCTGGAATGTAATGCGTGTTAATAAAAATTCAACCACACCTCAAACAATCGATATCAACTTTATAAAGACATCCATCAAAGGATGTCTTTATTTTCAACGGGCCTTTAGCAGGCGGTGCTTCTCAAAGATAAAGAGAGAATTTGTTTACAAATACTGTCGATTAATCATGACCAGAAAACTTAGTGACCCGAAGTGGCTTCATACTTCCCCCTCCCATTTCATTTTTAATTTTTCTAATGTCTAAGATTAGCTTCAGTCAACACTCGCTTATTTTTTTTATTTCTTTTAAATAATGTTTATAACTGCAACACCTTAACCTTAATTAAAAACAAGTTTTTTGACCAACGTTTGCTTAAATTCAAGTTAATTAAATAATTTGAAAGGTTTTCAAATACCTTAGACACTTTAATCACTTATTGTACGTCTTTGAGGCTTAATTAATATCTACATATATTAAGTTTAGAGGACGAACAAAAATGATTGATTAAAATTAAAATATGTTTTAAATGTTAAGACATTATTAATTTTAATATATGGCTGGACAGAAAATACATAAATAAATAATAAAATATTATAAAACAATATAATCGCTCCTTCCCATATATGCCCCTTGTTTCGTTCATTCATTCTTAACATTCTTGAAGTCATGAAACTTGAAATTCTTAAACCAAACCTGACAATCGAGATTGGAATTGATTGGAGTCGGCTGAAAAATGCGTTGAAAATAGCTAAAAAGCTAAAGTTATTTCCAAAATAAGAAACAATGTTTAAGTATTACCGCCAGGTGCCCCGCAAACACACATTTCGTAATTATACATGAACAATTACATGATTGACCGTCTTTTGAAGCAACGCTTCAACTTAACATAGCGCTTAATATTATCATTGAAGTACTCTTTTTCTTTTAAAATTATCTTTTACATAAAGACACAATCCAAACCATTTTTTATTTCTGGTTTCAACTTTCCATTCGGAGAAAAGAGTGCTTCCATCACGGTATGGCTCAGATAGTTGTCTGGGGATCGTTCCGAACAAAACAAAGCTCCAAAGAGCCCCCAATCCATATGAAATAAATAAATGTTTTTTCTAAAGACAATGATTCCTATCTATCATATTTTTGAAAAAAGGTAATTTCGTCAATAACGTACAACTTCTAGCAGATATTTAGACAGAACTTCAGTGCAAATATTAATCACCCTTAGTTTACAGAAAATCTTAATTTTTTATTATTTATCCAGGAAAGCTAGGATTAGTCATTAGGTAAACAAAGCCTTCTAACTTTTTCATTTTTTTGTAAAAACAAAAAATGAAAAAAAAAACAATAATAAAAAATCACTTAAACAATCTTCTAACAAGAATTTAAAAAAATAAGTAACTAAAGTATTTTGTAGTAGTTATAACTTAACATCATGAGTTTGAAGGATTCTTCACAATTATAGAAAAAAGCCAAATTAGTTTGTTACGCTTCAGAGACTTTAAAACTTAATAAATAATAAATAGTTTTGAAAATTTTGCAAAGTTAACCTTAGTTTGACTTGGAATGTTAAGTCAATGTTAAAATACTTCCATTTAGTCTTTTCCAAAGAGTCCGAAATACTATAAAAACACTTTTGTTGCACGAACTAGAACTCAGTTATATTTTTTGAATAATTTAGAAACGCAATTTAACGAAAATTGAATTTAATTTAAAAAATCATGATCTTTATGCTTAACAGTGCAGTTCTGTTAACGATTTGCGCTTTTTTTGCGGGTCTAGCAATTAGCCATACCTCTCTTAATAAGCAAAGATTACCCATAAAAGTGTTAGCGCATACTCCAGTTGATTCACGTATTGTCGACTATTACGCCTATCCGAAATATGAATTTGATTATGGTGTAAAAGATTTGAAGACGGGCGATATCAAAAATCAATGGGAAACACGCAATGGTGATGTAGTTAAAGGTGATGATGGGAAATAGCCAACAAAAAAATTTCTTTATTGTATTAATTTGCATTCGTCAGGTAGTTATTCTCTAAAAGAATCTGATGGCACTACACGTGTAGTAGAGTACACGGCTGATGATCATAATGGTTTCAATGCTGTGGTGAAAAAAGTTGGCGTTGCTTCTCATCCCATAGTCTACGCGAAGACTTTCGTTTATGGTCACGATTTGGATAATCTTGCTCACTCTGATAATATTATTAAAGTTAAACATTTGTAAGACAAAAATTCTATAGCACTGGAATAAATTAAAGAACAACATAATCTCTTAAGGATTTAAATATACGAAATAGCGAAAAAAATCTCAATGACGTGTAACTCATGAATAAGCAAATAAATCCAATCTTTGCAGAACACTAAATGCCTTCTACTTTTCAACCACTAGATACCATACCATGGCGTAAAAAAATTGGAAAGTAAGCCATCGTAATTAAATTTCATAAACCTTCACATAAGTTTGCGTATAAATAGTGTTTACAATTAATTACTCTATAAAAAATTAGGTATAAATAACTTGTCTTTGTTGAAACGAGATATCAGTTTTTGCATAGCGTTCAAAGCAATACCGAAAAGAAAACCGTTAACAAAAAAAGCAAAGCAAAAGCAAAACTTAGTAACAACAAAATGCAATTGTTAGCCAGCAGCATATTTTTAGTAACCGTTTTCGGTTCAGCTTTGGTAGTTTCGGTTTACGGGCATTACACCGGTCATGCCTCCTTATCGAAATATGATTTTAAAGGATATGAAAAACATCATGCCAGTCATCATATCGAAGATCACGATCACGATCACGATTCTTATAGTCATCCAAAATATGAATTTGATTACAGCGTTAAGGATTTAAAAAGCGGTGATAATAAAAAACATTGGGAAGAACGTGACGGTGATAAAGTAAAGGGTGAGTTAGCGTTTTGATTTTCTTTCCTAATGCGGCAAAAATTAAATTTAATTTCAATTATAGGTCACTACTCCTTTACAGAGGCCGATGGTACTACACGCGTTGTAGAATATAGCGCTGATAAGCATAATGGTTTTCAAGCTATCGTTAAGCATGTCGGTCATGCTACTCATGACAAAGTTGAAGATCTAAAGTCACACCACTCCAAGGATCACCATAAGCATCATCATCATCATTATAATCATCGTAGCCATGCAATTCATTAAATTTTTGATTTAGAGACCCAACGAATAGAACTTTATCAACAAAATCAGAAATTTCTTCGCATTTTTATATTTTCCTAATTTAAAATTTGTCCTTTCACAAATTCTTAAAAGTCATCTCAAAAGTTAACAAATTGATTAAAATAAATATTACGTCATATTGAAAATTCTCCACTATTTTCTCCGCGGGATGGTGTTGATGGCTATAGATCGAGCAGCACTCACTTGTTTGTCTTAACCAAACTTGTGCTTGAAAGGCGGCATTTTAACTTACATTTTTGGTGCAGATAATTTTCTAATTCTTTGCTCGTGTAGATGTGTGTTATATTGATTTGAAAATGACTGAAATATATGAAGAAATGCACTGCTTTGTAATGCTTTTTTAGTATAATAAAAATAAAAATGCTGCAAAAAAATAGTTTGTGAAGTGTACGGTGAGAATGCTGTGGATGGATGAAGGACCCAGGATTGGTTTGCTCGATTCCGTTCCGGAAATTTCGTTGTAAAAGATACACCTCGCATTCACTGATAAAATCTATGAAATATTACAACTGGCGGAACACGACCGACACGCAGGCTGTGAGGAAATAGCGGAAGCACTAAATATCAACTATACGACAGTACGGAACCATTTGAAAAGAGCAAGGTACAAACCGAAGCTCGAAATCGCGCGAAAAACCACGGAGACTTTTCAACATCACCCAATACTATATAAAATCTAGACTTTCAATAATGTACATTTCTTCTAATTCTATGAAAACTTGTAAATTTTTTTTTTATTATTAAAATGTTTTCTCTTTAATGTGCAGGTTATGTTTAATAAAAACTATCACTGTTTTGACAAAACTTTCAAAAAATGGCTACCATAATTGTTGGAAAACGTTCGTAAGTTTGCAATCAGTACCTTTTCTTTCGACTATTTTTGGTTTATTATTTTAACAATAATTCCGAAAAAAACGCAGAACAGATCAATATCAAGTCGCATGATCTAGATGGCACAATCAACTTATATTAGATATTACATTTTTGTGATAATGAATACAAAGTTTTATTGATAGTGGGCTCCAGGGCGCAATCTTGCTGTAAGCACATTTCTTCCATATCTACTATAATACTGTGACCAAAAAGTAATGCCAATGTTCAAGTTAAATATCAGAAATATATTCTTTCTACGTTGATAGCGCTGTGACAGAAATCTGTGTCAAACCTTCCATCATATATGTCGTTGGTTTAGTGCGCCGAATAAAATATTTATTCGGATTTTTGCAATTTGTGTGAGGAGATGATTTCTTGGCCACGAAATGCATTATTACAGGAGATGAAACTTGGATCTACTCATACGACCTGTGAAGAACCGACCCAAGACTGAAAAAACCATGCCAAAGTAATTCAAAAATCAAGGTGACCTTGACAATTTTTCTCGATTCGATCATGGCGTTGTGCACCATCAATTGCTTTTGCCAGGCCAATATTATTTGAGTTTAAGTACTGTCAAGGCAACAGTATAGATTTGGAATAATAAATAGATTTAAAAAAGAAAAAAGTTAAATTCGTCTTATTTTTTGGGCACAATCGTATATGATAAATTTTTGATCATAAAACATTTGAAGTTATTTCACAATATCAAATTGATCAGTTCGCTTTGTAATCGTACTTATAAGAATGTAAACAACATATAAAGAAAATGTAAGACAGTAAAACTGTTTTAATTCATTTATCACGTGATGCCTTTAGAAATGAAATCTCTATAAAAACTTCAAAATTAATATGTAAGAAAGTTAATTCGGCGAGGGCCGAATCTCGCATACCCACCATTATGCTTTTCGCATTTTAATCTCCAAGTTCGTTTATTTGATACCCATATCGGTGATATTATTAAGGAAAAATTGATCGCGGTGTGTACCATATTCATTTTAAAATTAACCCATTTTTAGGCAGATAACATATCTTCATTTGAGTAGTGTACAAAGTAGTTTTAAACGCTTTGTCTGATTTGCTTTATGATAAATTACCATCATAAACATCAAAAATTTGAAAAAAATTACATTTAATTATTCGTAACTTTGTGTGGACGCCGCCGATTGGTTCCATTTTTAGACCTAGCGAGTAAGGTGTCTCGCAAAGCAAATATGGAAAATTTCAACTTTCTAACTTCAATAATTTTGAAGTAACAAACAAAAATCAAGAATTATTGTTAAAAAAAAACTGGATTGCCTTCGGTTTACGCTCCAGTGCGCCCTTATGCTCTCACCAATTTGGCCCATTTTCAATATTAACTTGCGTCCAGAAAGTTCCAATGTTTCTACTATATTTTAAGTGGATATCTTCATTTTTGCGACCAACGAATGTGCCGAAAACACTGACGAACACGACGGACACACAGACGGACATGGCTAAATCAACTCCGAATTTCACGGTCATCCAGAATATATATACTTTTTAGGATCTCTGAAGCTTCCTTTTGGATTTTATAGGTATTTGGAAAGAAAAACATAATGAGTATACCCCCATCTTACAGCGGTAAGTATATGGTGGTAAAATATAAAGAAAGAAAAACAAAAGCAAATAGTATGTTGTATTTAGAAATGAAAGAATAAAATGCCTAAGGTCTCTTGAAGTTTTATTTTTACGCCTAAAAAAAAAGCCTCACAAAAAACACTTTTTTAATCTTTCCTTAAGGAATCGAACGTTTCATTGTTATGTAGAATTGTCAAGAGTAGCAATTTATACCATTTTTGAACAGCCTTCAAGCCTTGATAATATAACATCTCATAGCTAATGCAAGACCAAGCGATTCTGTTTTATGTATAAATGATTTCTTTTATCAACTTTTGAACCGATTTAGGCGATTTTCAAGCGTGAGATTGAGAGAGAAAGTTGAAAATTAAGCGTGATGACTAATACAGGCAATGTATTAACATTATATAGTTTGAAAAGAAGGAAAATATATCTTCAATTTTTCTTAATTATGATTTTTTGGTTTAATCTGACACTAAGACAATTTTGCAATCAGTCAGACAAACGAAGGCACTTAAATGAATTCACACTGATGGAGAATGTTTGTATGAATTTCAGGAGGAGAACAAATTGTTTTTTCTGCTCATCCTTCTCTAGCTAAAATATATAAAAATATGCATCTCAGAATTATTTTCACCTGTATTTTCATAAACTAATAATAATAATAATTAAAAAATGTTCATTAAATAAAAACAGTATAATTTAGTGATCATCACGAATTCGAAAATTCGGAAAAAAAAAATATTTGGCCTTGGAGGATACAATAGATAAAATTGAAATTCTTCGAAAAGCTTAATAACCGTAACCGTAACCACCATGGCCAGCGTCATAGCCACCGTAACCGTAACTATGGCCATTATTCAAGCCACCAGCATAACCATAACCGCCAGCATAACCATAGACGTGAGGGTGCACAGCATGGCCCACTTGTTTAACTACTGCGTTAAACCCGCTGTGCTTATCTGCGGTATAGTCTACAACACGAGTAGTCCCGTCGGCTTCTTTAAGGGAATAGCTCCCTGTAAACACAGAATGTTTAAAAACTTGTATGCAATGCAAGTTTAAGTAATAAACAAAATCTATACCTTTAACCAGATCGCCATCACGCAATTCCCACTGATTCTTAACATCACCGGTATGTAGATCCTTCACGCCATAACCATATTTATACTGAGGATAACTATAATAGTCCAAATGTTCATAACCACCGCCACTACCACCACCCCTATGGTAAAGAGCTCCACCGTAGCCTCCAATATAGCCACCGTGGTAGCCAACGCCATAGCCACCGCTGTAGCCAACGCCATGGTCAGTTCCGTAACCACCAGCATAATGGAAAGGCAAATCATGTTTAGTTAACACTGAATAACTATGAGCGCCCCCGTGCAAGTATCCTGCAGAAGCCAGGCTGCAAATGGCCAAAAAAACCGTGGCAATTTTTAACACAACCATATTTTCGTTTACGTTTGTTTTTATTAGTTTGATTAAGGTATTAATGAAAAGCAAATTAAATGATTATTAACGATGAACTGTTATACATTTTCTGATTTTCAGCTTTATTTATATCGAAAAATATAATATCGATTTCTTTGCATTTTCCGGTCGCAAGTCTATCTACCCATTTTGTTTGCTAATCGATTTCTTAAAGGAATTCTTTACAATTAATAAATAAATTAATTATGTAAAAAATCATTTTACATCAAAATATTATTGTTATTATTAATGAATAATACGATTGCATGTGCATGTTACCAACATTATAATAACAACAACAATAACAGTCATAGTTGACTAATTAATTGATTATGTATTTACGCGAGCGAACAATTATATTCGCTGCGTATCTCTTTATTAGCTTTTTTGTAGTTTTGTTTTTTTTGTTTTTTTCTTTTGTTTGCTTTTCTTCTTGCCTTGTTTTTACATTTTATTTCAAAATTAATCCATTTTATACTAACATTCGTTTTAGATTGTTTTGTTTTACTTATGCATTAAATTTTATTAATTAAGTTATTTTGTACACACATACATACCTACATATATTTTATTTAACAGTGAAGGTCATTGCAATTTTGTTGACTTTAATGCAAAATTTATTTGCTTTTTTAGTTTAAATAATTGATTTTTACAGAAAATACCTACACTTGAAAAGAATTTTCAATCCACAACTATGTTCTTGTTGTTGTTGTAAGAATGCAACAAAAATAAATCAACATATTTGAAACTGCCCGTCAAGTTTAGGTTTAGCTTTAGGTTTAGCTTTATTTATAGAATTTTTTTTTTATTTTTTCTTGTTAGATGTAGTGACTATTTGCTCTATTGATTTTATTATTAATGTTTTTTGAAAGATAAAAATAAAACGAAAAGTAGATTCGTTTAAAAGCGAAACTTAAGGTATACAAAAATTAAGCAACTTACATCTGACGTTGTACTCTTTCGAATTAAAATCTTACACAGCAGATCGCTTAAATGTTTTCCTATCTATTCTTTGCCTTTTAATCAATCAAAATCAGATTAGCAGAGTATAGCTAAAATGTAATATAAAAATATATCTTCCTTTCACACAATATGCTTACTTTTTATATTCGAAGTCTGAATACGAAACACAATCAATGGAAATTTTACATAAATAATCTTAATTTCTAACCAGAATATTCTTCTGGAAATAATTGCAAAGATTAGATTAAACAGATAAACATACCGGATAAACACAGAAAACTGTACCAAGAATTTAGAGTACAATTATCAGCTTTTTACTTCATTTCTTGTTGAAGAAATCTTCTTTCTTTGATTGAAAAACATCAACGTATAGTGAAAGATCCAGAACTTTGATAATAATTGTTTTAATGACGCTGCACACGAAATTCAAATTTGTTTTACATTGTTTTACAAAAACAAAAGCAGCGTAACTAAAGCAGCCCCAAAAACGTTCAGAATGTTATGAAATTGTGATACATTTTGTTTAAAAGTTAACATTATGTAAACATCATACGCATTCGCCGTGGTGGTGACGTTAATATATTATATTACTGGCTTACGTTCACGCAATCGTATCCATATGTCTGCATATTCGTCTGTATACAACAATACTGGAATAGGGTGAAAAGATTTTAAAAAAAAGAAACCAAACAATATACAATAATTAATATCGTGACCTTAGCAAATGGCTTTCCAATCCTTGCCGTAATGATTAATATATAAGCCGTAAGAAAAAATTATTTAAAAGAGATTTGCATCGCAGTAGCTACAAAAAGAGTGCAATATCCCTTGGTATATAAAAATGTATTTACTTTGAATGCCATCGCTATAACTGCAAATAGAACTCACCTCTTTACTGATATATCATAAAAGGTATAAACAGGATTTAAATTTAATTGAGTTCCCCAAATTGAGTTTAGCTGACAAATAATTTAAATCTTGCAAGTGGATACGCAGAATTTAGTAGTATCCTAAGATATATGCATAGCTTTCTCAAGTTTTGGATACTCTTTTGTATAATTCTATCTATCACTCATTTTACATTCATATTTGAATTTTTTGTGAAAGCAAGCGAAACTTTATTGAAATTCTAATAAAATATTTTGGGTAAATTTACAAATTCTGAATTAGCCACAACATAGTCCAATATATTGAATTTTTACCAATGCTTATCATCATGACCATGATGATAATAATGAGTTTTGTGGTAATTGTCGTAATGACTATCATGATGACTATCGTGATGACTATCGTGACGGTTGTCTTTGCCGTGATGATTGTCTTGTTCGGCATGGCTTTCGGGATGTTTAGAATGGCCAATGTGCTTAACTACAGCGTTGAAACCGTGATGTTTGTCTGAGGAATATTCAACAATGCGTGTAGAGCCATCGGGTTCGACTAACGAATAATAACCTAAAAAAGCAAGAATTCATTTTTTCACCCTTAGCATAGTAACATAATTTTTTTTATTTTTACCTTTAACATCATCACCATTACGTGATTCCCATTGATTTTTAATATCACCAGTTTTGGTATCTTTAACGCCGTAATCAAAATCGTATTTAGGATGACTGTAATAATCGTGAGATTCATCCCCATGACCGTGACTATCATCATTATGTTCTTGATGGTGCCCACTAGCGAAATCACCGTGATGCTCCAAAACGACGGCGTGAGCCAATTCCTCATGTCCGTGATTATAATCTTTATGGGCGAATTCATAACCCTTATGATCCCATTCATAGTTATCATGTCCTTTCTCTTCATGTTTAACCGGCTCAACATGTTTAGTAACAGTTTTATAGCTGCTGACATGGCCCTCGTGTAATAATCCTGCCAAGGAAAGACCAAAAATGGCTACCAAAACTGTACAAGTGGCTAAGAAACGCATGTTGATAGATAATGAAACAAAACAAACTGATAACATTTTCGCATTTCTTCATCCTATTTATACAAAAAATTTCGCAAATCGAAACTTAGCATACTTAGTAATCAGATTAAAAACTAACTTAGAGAGATACTAATAAAAATTTTTATGTTATTAATTAACATGGAATGATTTTCAATTGTCTGAGAGGAAAGAGTCAAAAAGTTAAAATTGTGTATGATATGAAACGGTACGAACTATAGTATAACCTTAAAAAACAGCTGAAAATTTGAATCATGAAACCACCTTCACTTAATTAGTTATAATTTTATTTTATATTCGTATATTATTTCGTTTATTATTTCGTGATTTTTTCATTTATTTGTTGTTGTTGCTATCTTTTGATGTCTAAAATTTAGTATAAATATTCTGTCGGAATAGAAAAAAAGTAAGTTTTAAAACATCACTTGTTTAGAAGATATACAATGCGTTTTTTAAGTTGCGCTTTCCTTTTAGTAACCATTTGTGGTTTGGCTATGGCAGGATATTTGCATGAATCTGCCAGCAGTTATGCCGAAGTATCCAAACATGAAGACGAAAAGAATGAACATCATGAGTTTCACCATGAAAACCAGGAGCATGGTGAAGAGGTTTACGACTATCATAGCCACCCTAAATACCAATTTGATTACGGTGTGAAGGATACGAAGACCGGTGACGTAAAAAATCAGTGGGAGTCTCGTGATGGTGATAAGGTTAAAGGTACGATTTTTGTTTTCTATCACATTGCGGGCTATTAATATTATAATTAACTTCAAATTTTTAGGAGTCTATTCCCTGATAGAACCCGATGGTAGAACACGTTTAGTTGAGTATACATCGGACAAGCATCATGGTTTCAACGCTGTGGTCAAACACATTGGGCAGGCCGATCACGCCGATCATGCCGAACATCACGAACATTATGATGTACATGGTCATGAAAAAGGTCAACATCAATGGGACAGTTATGGCAATAAATTGTAAATAATGATCTCTAGCAGCGTAGCTGTGTGATATAGAATTTTGTTGCAAAATTTTACAAAAATTCTAAACAAAATAAAAAATTAAACACAAAATACATAAAACAAGTAAATAAATTAAAGGCCTATAATAAGACATAGCTGACCATTCAATAATCACGATCCAAAGTTAAAACAAACCTTAAGTGGGAATGGGTCTAAAACATAAATCGACGGGAGTCGAACTCAATAAAGTGGCTAAATAAGTTATCACTCTTCATATATCTCGCTACAAAAGGTCACTTTTCATAGAAAATTTAGAATAGTAAATTTGTATGTGAAATAGGACTAATTATTTCATAACATTAAAATTGGCAAGAAAATTACCTATGTTGAATTTGAAACACGTCAATTCAAATTTCATCCCAAATCCATTCAGTAGCAGATATGATCTTCTAAATGAATATGTCGGATCCATCGAAAAATAGCATTATCTATAAACACGATATTGTCTGCATACGCCACGTTTATTAACAATAGCAACAAGTTCAAATACCCGTTAAAGCCAAACTCATACTACAACAATATCAACATGTTGAAAAGGAAAAATATATCATTTCAATTTCTATGGTTAGGCGATCCCCTACGCTGTGAGGCAATTTTCTACTCATTGAAGTAAATGAATATCTTCCAGGTAGTTGGACTGCTGGCTGACTGCAGCTTATGTCGAGAACCATTGAACATAGTATATACCTTACAAAATTTGGTTTTCACATTTTTTTTTTTTTTTCATTCTTTTTTGACCAACCACTCAGGGGATGTACTCTACATATTTAGGCACGACCATTTAGGCGTGATCAAAAGGGATTATATTATAGATGCTCAAGGAGGAAAGCAGAGAGCAGTATTTGTGTAAGTTCGACTTAAAAGTGAAAATATCTACAATGGTGGATAAGTGGCGGGTAAGCGCAATTGAAGAATGATGTGGTAGTCTGTCGTACGGTATGTGAGTACCTCTAGAAAGAATAGATAAGAATACTGGGAAAGCCGAGCACTCCTCTCAAAAGACTTATTTGGTGAGAGTAATCTTTCCTCAAGAGTATAACTCTTATTCCACAAGAGTTTTTTTTTATCTTAGTCCCTATTGAAATATCTCAGTAAAAAGACACAAAATTAAAAAGAAAATATGCAACGCTCTAAATCCCAATAAATTTCTTGACTAGGATAAGATGATAAGCTCCAAGTAGCGGCCGTAGACAGCTCAAATGGCACAAATGATATAATTATGGAAAAAATAAAAACTAGGGAAGGAATTCACTTTTTTTTCTACGTCCTTTATATACTTTTACGACCGTCCGTCTTATTTTAACCCAAAATTCGTTTTCCCAACTGTCTATTTGGTGGGTGCCATTGTGAATTTGTAAAATTTGTATGCCTTATAATTCGCAACATGTCAACAAAAATATATAGTGATAGTTCGCGGGCTTTTTCCTAGGGCTTTGATGCTGTACTTTGGTCCGATTCCTTCTTCGTCAAAGACATTAGGTTCCGTTAAGTAATGAAGAGACTCTGGGTTATTCTATGTTATAACTCATACCTGGTAGTTTTGTTGGTAATTTAACATGTTGAATGATTAAACGCAAGTTAAACGCATACGGTTTAACGAAATATCAATGCCTAACTACATAGGTCTTTCTCTTAAAAGGTAATTCTAACATACTCCTATAAAGTATAAACTTTATGACTATAAATCCTGATGCTGTAAAATTATATCTCCAAATGTTTGTGTCCACTTGTCTCTTAAGCATTTTTCTTATACCCAATGATCTTAGGGAGCAACTCTAAAGTTACACAGATTATAAGCCAAACTCTCGAAAAAGAAGAAGAAAAGAGAAGAGAAAATGAACGTAACCGTATCCAGCTAACTTCGCTTCCAGCTAATTCTTCTTGCTAACTTAGGATCTGCGAATTTAATCTGCGCTAAATATTAAGTATTAAGACTTAAGAAGTAAGTGTGAGATCAAAACGAGCGCAACGACTTTGGTCCTCACAACTTTCCATTTCATATGTCAAAGCAGGCTAGTTGCGTAAATTTTTACTATTTAAATGTGCTAAACTGTAATGCGTTTGCACAAAGTTGCAAGAATTTATGTCTTATAAGTTCAAAAGCAATATATAATACAAAATATGGATTTTTTCTTTTTTAAACTAAAACCGAATACAAGATATACAACAACAAAAATCTCGAAATTTTGAATGAATTCAAGAACTACATATTCTGTCTTATAAAGTACTAAAGCAAAAAGAAAATTATTAATTCAATTGAATCCATTGTCATTACTATTATTATTTTAGCCAGATAAATAATTACTAAAACTGAAAGCTTAAAACACTAGCACCTAAGGCTATCTATCTATCGGCTTATTGAAAACTCTATCGCACTTAAGATTTTAACCCACAACCGTTGAGTTATTCGTCTTTATCCTTTGCCTGCACGGCCACTAATAAATAATTTTGACTATTTTTCATTGGATATGATAAATGAATTAAACTTCTTTAACTGCTTTTTATGATCGAATTTTTACATTCAACTAAGCAAATAAACCAGTCTCAAATTCTTCTAAGAAGTCTTTATTACCTTTCGAAAAATTTTAATAAAATAGTATTTTAATCGTAATCCATTATTTTACTTTACGTCATCTATTTTTAATTTACGCATTACCCAAATAAAATATGAATTTTTAATAAGTTTTTGCAATTAGCTGCTATGATATGAAACATTTTAGCTCGTTCATTTATTTCCTTTTTCAAAAATTATTTAATGTAGTAAGTATTCATTTAAAAGTCTTGAGTAACTTTTTATACCCAACAACGACGAGTCGAAGTATATTCATTTTTTCAAAACGTTTGCAGCATCCAGGCAGAAAATTCATTGACTCTTTAAATTCATTTTCAAATTACTGAAAATGAATACATCGCCTACACATTTTGAAAATTATGTAAACTACGTCTAGAACGCTCGCACGCCTATAAATATATAAATTAAATAGAAATTATCAACTGCACGAACATATTGTAGAGCGTAAAAATGTAGTTCTTTTCGGGTATAAACTATTCGGCCACGACGGAATATTTGTTAACGCTGTACGACGAAAAAAGTTTTGCTAAACTTGAACCACGTCAACTCACTCCTTATATGGAAGCAGTCCCAAATAGAAAGCATATCTTTATACGAAAATAGGGTATAGTTTTTGGTACTTTATCACGAAAGTAATGTAAAGTGTTAGATGAAGTCATATAGGGCATGTAGTAGTCGGCCCTGTCCGACTATAGTGTTTCTACTTGTTTTATGTAAGCATATATATATAGATGTATATTTGTATATATTAAACCTGGTTTACACTACATAGTTGCTCGCAATGTTTCTACGTGCGGCTGCGTTTTGGTATTATAGGTTTTAACTGCAATTATCATGAAATGTATGTTTTACTTTTAAATTATTATTTTTTTAACTTAAATCAAAACGTTTAAAATCAATTCTGAATTTTTTTTGTATTTATATTGGCACAGCTTGATTTAACATTTATTGTCTCTGCATACCCTTAAGCGAACGAAAGAACGAAAGAATTTATACAAATTTGATGTGATGAGAACAGTTTAAAAACAGCTAAAACAGATAATTGTGTATAATATCGCCTATATTGAATTTAGCATATCCATTTGACCGACTTTTCTTTCGAAGTGACCTCGGTGCTTTTGTGTATCAATATTTTTTTCGATATTGTATTGTGCCCGTTCGCCATATTAATAATACATGTTAATTATATTAATTTGTTAAACACCGTTAAGCGTACTAAGCCGAAAGTAACAATTCAAAATTAGCAGCTTCTTTTAACGCATCATTTCATTTTAAATTCGGCGCCAAACGAAACCTTTGTAGTTTGTTAGAACCTAATACTGGCGTAACTGAAAAATTTTGAGTGACTTCTGTCTTATTTGGCGTAAGCCAAAATTGAAGCCAACCTCCTGGTCGATATTTATTTTCAAAATATTCAAGAAACGATGGGTCTTTTGCATGAAAAATTTCAAATGACAGATCTAGTTAAAAGACGTTACATTAGATCTATACATACAAGAATGTTTCGATTTTCTATTTGATACATCTGTGACACAGAGCTTTTGTTTGTCGATGTCAGTTTCGATTTTGATTGTAAGTTGCGCATTTGTTGAAAGGGCACTTCTACATGAAACTTGTAGACGATTTTAGTGAAACCAAAAATCAAAAAATCAGTTACTACAAATTTTGCCTAATATGGGCACGTGTATGTATTAAGCTTGACATCAGTCACTCAGTTTCTTTTCTTAACTTCAGAGACGGTAAACTATATTTTATAAAAGGAAAGGCCGATCTAGCAGACTACTTCCCTTTCTTCCTTCCTTCTTTAGTGAGCTTATATTAAACATTAAACGTGATAAGAGAGATGCCGTTTTTTATTCCCAAACTCATTAAAATATAGTATAGATATATCATTTGATCTAAATAAAAGTAAGTGGCAAAAGTTATGCGAAGCAACAGTAAGTTCGAAAAGTATGAAACGATTTTGAAAATACTTCATCGCGCCGGATTGTATTTTAATGCCTTTTTATTATACATTGCTGCATTTATTTATGCCTGCAATTTCAATGATAAATTTTCACGCCTATAAAGCGATCCTTCTCTTATTCTTAGAATATTTAGACAAGGGTGCAAGGTGGTCGTTCGTTGCAAGTGTTTTGTAATTCCTTCAGTTTTGGTTTAATTTAGCCTGAAACTCTTAAATTTTGATAACAGACATTTTCGAGATACGGGTGTGAAAATTTTTATAATTTTGTGAAATAGTGTAAGTCACCCGTCAAGTATTTAGAAAATATATTAATAATTTTAATATAATTGATCTATGAAGGCGTTTCCACAATTTGCAGCGTATCCAAGCAAGCATTTTTTTTTTTTTTTTTTTTTTTTTGTTATTATTTATAGAATTTATTTTTACAACAGACAAGCCTTCAGGGTGCTATTAAGACAAGTTTGCATAAGTGACCAGGATTTGGATTAAAAAAAAATATTTTATGATTTATGAGTGACTTTAAATGAAAAACTAGTTTAAAACGCAACGAAATGCTTTGTTGAATATACATAATTTTGATTAATTGATTATTTTATTTTCATATTTTATTACACTGTTTGTAAATTTTTTTGTTTTTTTGCTATATGTTATGTTCTTTTATAGATATCACATTTAACTGCTTGCTTTCGATCATCTTAAATACTTTCTGATCCTGAGATATAATCTTTCGTTCATAAATATTTAACATGAGCATAACTATCAGCATGACCGTGTCCATAATGATAATCGGGAACGTCAGCATGTTCGTAAACTTTCGAATGTGCGACATGACCCAATTGCTTGACCACAGCGTTGAAGCCATGATGCTTATCAGCTTTATAATCCACCACACGAGTGGTACCATCGGCTTCTTTCAAACTGTAAGTGCCTGAAAAAGGGGAAAATAAAGAAATTAATTTTTAAAACAAATTTTAAAAGATTTTTGTTAACATACCTTTGACTAAATCACCATCACGTGTTTCCCATTGTTTTTTAATATCGCCGGTCTTTAAATCCTTAACTCCATATTCGAATTCATATTTTGGATGGGAATAGTAATCATGTTCGACATCAACATGATATGGCTTGTAATCGTGGTGATCGTGGTGAACATGGTGAACATGCTTATCGGCCCATTCATATTTAACAGGCACCTCATGCTTAACCATTGAAGCATAGCTAGTAGCATGTCCATGGGATAAATATCCGGCTGAAGCCCAACCAAAAATGCTTATTAAAAGAAAAGTGTTAATAAGGAAACGCATTTTGCTTGATTTATACTTTGAAACACTTAGAACAACTGCTAGCATTCGATGCAACAGGCCACTTATTTATACCAAAAAATGTTGTTAATTAAGTAATTCACGTTCTCTTAACTTTTTGAAATTTGCATGTTTGTGATTAATAATTTTTAATTTACTTACTTTTTAATACCATTTACTTAGAACAATTCATTGCACACGCTTACATTGATAGATACAATCTAAAATACATACGTTGCAACAATTTATTGTTTTTCTCGGTTAATTACTTCCTGACCATCAAATGGCTTATTGAACAAGCATTACAAAGGTTTTACACATGTTTAGGTCCGAAACAAGCGAATTAACATGAATATTTAGTCAATTTTTTTTAATTATATATAAATTTCAATTGAACTATGTAAATTAAGGAAGCGTATGAATTAAAGCAAACAAGAAAGAAAGAAATTATTTTGTCCATCTGCGCGATGTCAATCTTGGATGTCGATCATCCCATTCATCTGCATCTTACTCGTTAGCGATAATCGCCAGTATTTTTCATCCTATCCCTTTAAATATGACACTAATAACTATTTAAAATTAATGTTGTGTTGAAGGTAATATTAGACTATTGATAAAAAAATTCAAAGTTTTTTCTTGGACGTTCGAGATTTTAGACATTGTTAACGACGTTATGTGCGATTTTTGTTCATTTCCAAGTGTTTGATTTGTGCGCATAAATCATTTCGGCCGTTATAGTTCCAATAACAGATAGACGGATGCTTAGACAGACTGTTCAAATAAAGGATAATAGGAATATGGATATATCAGCTCAGTAACTAATACTATTTAAGAAGTTAGATATTACGCTTCACAAAATCGCTATAGTGCCTATGATTGGATATTATATATGAAAAAAATGAATGCATACAAAAGTTTTATTCTAGCTGCCATTCTTCGGCATTAAAATATAAGCGAAAAGACACTATTTATAAATAAGAGAAAGGTAGTATTCAATATCAAGACAAGGAATTTATTAAACTTTTTTTTTTAATATCATAATCAATGAAGTGTTGTATATTAAGCAGTGTTAGCATGTGTAAATTAGTCATGTTCGTTATCATTCATATATGTGAACGCGATCTTTATTGGTTCGGAGTGAACGTAAGAAATTTTTAAAATCACAAAATTAAATAAACAATTTTATACACAAACATTCACTTCCTCCAAATAGTAACAATTTCATTTATTTTGGTCAAAACTAAATAAACAGAAGAACTGTGCAATGTACAAGATGCCTTATAGAGTAAATAGAACTTTTTGAAAATGACATATTCCAGCGACACTCGAATTGGAACAAGTACATACTTTACTATCCGTGCCATCAAATGTGAATGACAAAAGCGGCTGTAGAATTCCAGTTGTAGCGTTTCAATTGACAGCGTGTTTGCTGCATTGACACGAAACGAAAGTAAATATCGAAGAAAAGTTCCAAGATTATGTCGTAGCAGAATGAATAAGTGAAGAATGGTCATCAAGACGTCAACGATAAATAATATGCTAGATAATCTAAATTAATGATAAATCAGAAATCAGGTCAAATCTTCTTCCAAAAAAAAAAGAAACTACAAAATCAATTCATCACAGATTTTGATCAAACATTGGGCTTTTCAATTTTATGTCGTTTACACTATGGTGGGCACAAATTGACTGACGTACCATAACTGCACCGAAAAAGTCGCTCTTGCAACGGATATCTTAATCTGAAATAGCATTTTAAGCATCGATTAGTCGCCGCATTCACTTCATTTAACACTATATGATCTTTACTTGCGGTATGTTGACATGGAAGCCATCGAAAAGATTTGCATCGCAAGCAACAATTTGCTGGTTGCTTACACGTTCGATTTCGATGCAGATTTCAAAAAAAATTCACGGCAGCCTCCAATAGTTCGCCACGTCCCAGAAGTAACTGTTTTGATCCATTTCTCTATTCATAATTTTATTTGTCCCTTTTGGGCGCATTCAACCTAATAATAATGGTAGAAGTGAGCTGAAATAGTATAAAGGCAGTTAGCTAGGAAAGGAAATAGTATCATATAGGTCAGCGATACGTTTAACCTCTTTCCAGGTTTACATAGAATTTTTCAATAAGAGAAAAGATATCGGCCGCGCTGCTGATGCCGTCCTTGACCCTCCTAAAAGTTTACGATGGTCATGTCCTGACTGCAGAAAGCAGCACATTGATTTCTACAAACTCTTCACGGAGACGAGAAATTGTTTCTCAGATTTGAGCACAAATCTCGGCTCCTTGTGGGAGAAATTTGAAATAATCAAGACTAGGTTTAATTGCGCAATCATCTCGCTCTCCAGCTAACAAAGTTTCAACTCGTAAGTCCGTTTCGTCGGTGCAAGTTAGCGATTCCTTAAAATCTACAAAGAATGTTAGCGTTTCTGCTACGGCTGAGTCGGTCGGTAACATAAGAGTTGCAAAAAAGCCGGGAAGTCCTTCTGGCTTGAGCTATGCTGAAGTAGCAAGGGTATCTCCTCCCATTGATGTCACTCAATCTTCTCAGAGGTCATCGCCTAAAACTAATAATGATAATAGTAAATGCTCCTCTCCTCCTGGCTGTTCGAGTGTGAACGCCGGTCGCAAAACTGAGCACGTCGCACAAGCTGCTCGTGCAAGTGTGGTTACCTCTTCTATATTTTCCCCAACTCATAACTCCCCATCCCTACTGCTTCTAGTAAAGATAACATATGCTTGAAGGCAGTTCCTCCCAGAAAGGCAATATTTGCGTCAAGACTGGCACCACATACATCTGTTGATAACATAAAAAGTTATCTGGCAGCGAAAGCTCTTCTGTCAATTTAAAGCGCGTTAGTATTTTTAAATTGGCTTCTTCTCAATCTAGAGCTATCTCATCTTTTAAAATTCTAGTTTCCACTGAAAATATGGATTTGATGTTAAATAAACCATTTTAGTCGGTTGGATCCTTAATTAAGGAATTTATCCCTCGGGATCGACCCCGTAATGCTAATGCTCTTTCCCCTTCAAAAAACTAAATATTTCTTCAGGCTCATTTTCTCTCATTTATCAAAATGTTAGAGGCCTAAATTCAAAAATTGGTTCTACCTTCCTAAATTCAGTGAGCACGGAGTTTTCCTGTTTGGTCTTCACTGAAACTTGGTTAAAGCCGGATCTACATTCGTCGGAACTTTTCCATAATTCGTTTCAAGTTTTCAGAAACGATCGATTATATCGCAATTGTGGTGGTGTTTTAATTGCCATTTCTTCGGCAGTCTTCTCCTATTCATTTGAATTTCCAACTACTCCCGATGTTGAATTTATCGCCATTCGAGTGAAATTTCCTAATAAACACTTATATGTGACCTGCTCCTATATTCCCCCAAATTCGGATATCTCTGTGTATAAGAAACAGGCCGCCCTCACTTGTGAAGTGGCCAAGCAATCTAAACCTACCGATATAGTCATTGCGTTGGGTGACTTCAATTTGCCTTAAGTCACTTGGTGTAACAGTGATAATTCTGGCTGTTTAATTCCTACTTCAATATCTGATAGAGCTGTTGTGTTCTTTAACGAATTATTTGCTCATAATTTAGTTCAATACAATGGTACCCCTAATTGCAATGGTAGATTGCTTGATTTTTGCTTTGCCAATTTTCCTGAAATTTGCGTTAATCGTTGTCTTCCGTTTAGTTTACCTGACGATCTATATCATCCAGCATTGGGTATTTCCACTCATTACAAGCATGTTGGTTCGTTGAACTTCTTTCTATAACGTTCCAAATTCAAATTTTTCATATAAATTTTATGATTTCCATAAAATCAATGTTTCCATGCTAAAATCACATCTTTCTCATATTGTGCTTGATTTCTCAGTGGGAAGTATTGATAGCTTACTGTCGTCGTTCTACAATATATTAAATCAAGCTACTTATGCGCCCGTTCCGATCAAACAGTCCCGACCTCGGAGCAAGTGTCCCCCGTGGTTTAATAAAACAATTAAATATTACAAGAATAGTAAAAACAAGCTTTTCAAAAAATTTTCGAAAAGTGGTTCTTCTTTCGACTATTTCGCTTACTGAGTGGCAAGGCATCAATTTAATTCCCTCAACCGCCAATACTATTGCAGATACCTTCAGCTTGTAAAGTCCTCCGTGTTTGCTAATCCTAAACAGTTTTTTAAGTTCGTTAATTCCAAAAGAAAAATCTCCACAAATCCCTCGCATGTGTCTTTTAATGGCTCCGAGTCCTCGGATGATTTTGAAACCTAAAATCTCTTTGCGGAATATTTCCGACAGAACTTTTCAACTGCCAATTTCGATTTATCAGCGAGCTATCCATATCCGATTTCTAATTTGATTTCAATTCCTAACTTTGTTATATCTGAAAATGACGTTTTTGAAGGATTGAGCTCTCTAAAATATAATTGGACCTGATAAAATCCCCTCATATGTACTTATATCTTCTGTTGGTGGGCTATGTGGTGTTATCTCAAAGGTTTTTAACAAGTCCTTGAATTTAGGTGTTTTTCCTTTGTATTGGAAGACTTGTTTCCTTATTCCTATTCACAAGAGTAGTAGTAGGAAACTTGTAGAGAACTACAGAGGCATTGCCAAGTTGAGTGTCTTGCCTAAACTGTTCGAGCGAATTGTGACTCAGCATATAGCCTTTTCCTTTCCAACATGATTTTCGAAAGGGAAGATCTACGGTCACCAATTAATTAGAGTTTATTTGTCATGTTTTGAAGGCTTTTTCTAGTGGCTCTTCCACTGATGTCATATACACTGACTTTAGCAAAGCGTTTGATTTGGTTAACCATAGACTACTTATCTTTAAACTCCAAGCATCTGTCTTACCTTTCTTCTTAGTGGAATGGTTAACCTCTTATCTGCATGGTAGATCATTCAGGGTTTTGTTTAACCTCATTACCTCGGATGAGTTCCCCGTAACGTCTGGCGTACCTCTAGGTAGCCACTTAGAACTCATTTTATTTAATTTATACATCA